CATTGTAAACACAAACGAAAAAGAATCATAGTCTACTCATTTGTTTTTGGATTCTTTTTCTGAAAGATTGTTAACGCGTTTTTTAAGGGGCTTGTCTGAATGGAAATTGTAATAAACCCTTAGAAGCATTTATGAAAGGGTATATGAAAATTAAATACCCTTATAAGGGTTTATTATTCTACCCTTTTTTTTTACAGTGTACTCAGCAAAGTCTCAACATGAGTAGGGCGATGATCGATTACAACTTTCATTAGTCATTGAAAAGTAGTTATTTTCCAAATTTTCTATTAGTTTAATTTGAATTTTCCATATACCAGGGGATTACTTTTATTGCCTCTTCATAAAATGATTTCAATGGAGGATAATTAGTTTTATATCGAACCATTTCTTTACTCGAAACGTAATCCATGAATTTGTACACGAGTTAATTATGAAGTTTCAATTCCATGCCATGAAATGTTCATTATTTTGATAGGAAACTTATTTTCTGAGTTTTGTTTTATATGTAACTTAGTGGTGGAAGTAGATTAATGGTTAGGTTCGATGATAACCGGAAAGAAAAACATCGACAACTATTGCCATGTGGTTGTAAAACGATTTCACATTGTACGATTATGTGAAGAAATGGGCTGTGATATGCAAGACGGGCTGCTAAAAAAGGAAGAACGCATGTGTTTGATTGCACTTAAATAGAGTTGTAGCAAGTAAAAACCGATGCCCGATGAGCAGCAAGCTAAAAATGGTTTGGCAAATTTTATTGAAGAAAGCTAAACCATATAACTGTTGAAAGAAAAAGATCAAGCGAGAAATATTGGCACTCAAATAGCTATGATAGAAATTTTTTAGGCTATTTTGAAAACCCTTTGTTTTACGATGACACTCAAATTGTGGTTACAATGAATGGCAAGCGAATCGCATGAGAATCCTTTCACAAGACTATTCGAGTCTAGTTGTTGGAATTATGATATCATATCAACAGTTAAATTATACCTCAGATTAGCGTAGTCGAACTCAACAATCAAGTTTAAGAGTAGACTGAAGAGTGCCCTTTTCATTTGCCCAGATTTAATTGACTCAAAAGAAGTAATAACGTCTAATTGGTTCAGACAATATCTTAAAGAGCTAGACATCTAAGTGAACATCTTTCTCACAGTATAAATAGGACATTTTAAAAAGAGATGCGACTGTTTAATCGGCAATTTCGAATTGTTCAGGGGTGGTGCCATTTTTCTGGAAGATGGCGTTGAAGTGGGCAATGTTTTACGCGGCAACTTGGCCGTATTTGTTCAAACAAGTTCGAGTCTGCTCAATGAAGATTTGACACCCGCTGCGATTTGGGTGAGTTAATATGTCAACAGCATAACTCATAGGGCGACGTACACGTGCTCTCGTATTTCTAGGCAACCAATCCGTACAATACTATCGAAAACAATGCTGTCGCTGGTGGTACTCATCTTGGCTATTGGTATCGAATGCTTAAAAAACCCGATGGGCCTTCGTTTGCCATGTATCCAGGCTATTGTCCATATCGACAACCATTCGGTCGATTCTTCAACAATAGTGTACACAGTACGGGTGTTGCCGGTGTTTGGATCTTTCCCGAGTATTCACCGACAGTGGGTGGTAGCTGTACGAATGATGCACCCACTCAAGCCGTGTTCGAAGGGCTAATCTCATGGAAGAATTTTAAAGGTATGGAATGGGTTATGGCAAGCACGATTCAAATCAAAAGTGCACTCGTCTTCGACAGTAGTGATGCGGGTCTTTCTTGTGTCACTGCTATTAACGATGGTGCAACCAATTTACCCAATCTTGAGGCAACATTTTATAACGAAAATACAGGGTCATCAGTCATCGATTCAATCATCATTGGTGATTTGGGTGTGTCAGGAGCTCCTATTGTACCAACAACGGCAGGCCTCGTTGGTAAGTTTTATCCATATTTCTAAACGCTCTTACTCCCTTAGTACAATATATTTATAGTCATGTGGGATCGTGGTCTTCTCGTACGAAATGTTTCATTTATCAACTTACCTAGTCCACAAACTCAAGCCCTTTTCGGACCGATTATCATTGGTCGATGTGTTGAATATTGCGGAGGTAAGAAAAATGAACAAGCATTATGTATTTTTGGATGTTTTTCACTTTGAAAAGGCTGGATGACCAAATTTTCACAATTATCATTTACGAATGTTACCAATCGTGGCAACTTTCGATGGCAATATGATGGTTTGTATCTCGATGAAGATGGATCATTGGGCAATGTTCCAGGTGCAATGATCCTGTCACCCGATGGCCTTTGGAATACTTCGACTTTGTGTTCACCAACACCCAATTTTCTCAATGCCGTCACTTGCCCAGCGTCAGTGGGAAACTGGATTCGATTTGCCTTCAATAATGCCAATCTTGATACAAGTGGCCAATTTCTCTTCATCACTGACTCGCAAAATAGTAACGAAGCTGTTGTACCATCACGTCATAAGCGACTCACGCATCCCAGTGGTTACATGATGGATTTACTCACAAATCGAGTGTATTCGTTCTCGTTCCAAAATGCCAATGTAAAACATTTCTTAGCCTTGATATTTAGTATTGCTTATCTCTTGTTATCTTCTTGTTTAAGACATCAGTCAACTTGTCATATACTGGCGTCGTTTACAATTTGGTTCCTGGTGATTATCTCATCGTACAACACGGAATTGAGTTCATGCCTGATCAAGTTTACACAATCTCAAGTACATCGATGGCCTACCAATCGAGTACACCTCTATCTGGTGCGACTAGCAACAATGGTGATTGGCATTACGATAATAACACATCGTTATTTTCCTATATTGGTATATACTAGGCTTTTTCGAACATGTTTTTATAGTTCACTATTTTGTTCAATTTAGTGAAAAATCCATCATCCAACACAGTTTTTATTGATGTAACACTAGTATTGAATGTCATCAAATGTCAGTATCCAAATTGTCAACCACCAATTCAGCCTGGACTCCAGCTGCCAGCTACGGCTCGACCAGCTAATGCTTTGTATTGGTCGAATGATTCTGATTGGCATTTCGCTACCCAAGGCTACGGTGGATATGGTAAGTGCACCTGTGAAATCAGTGAAATGAGACAGAGATGAATGGTCTCTTTAATGAAAGAATATTTCTAACAATTCTTCGTGTTATGAATTCGCAAAAAATATTGCTAGTGGTTCATGAGAAAAGTTCGAATTTACTATCTCAATCATATTAGACACATATTGCTCTAAAGAACGAGCAAACTTTCGAACTTGCCATACTTGACATAGAAATTCATGAAAAAATAATCAACTCCTCATTTTCACAACAAAACAGAACGACCATTGAACTTTGAAAATTGTCAATCCTGTTTCTTTTCTTTTCTCATATCTTATACTGATCGAAGATTTTTATTTTTATTTGCTTCAAAAAATGCTTGACCTTTTCTAACCGAGGGAAAGAGAAGCTATTTTCTAGATCTATGTCTCTGAGCACCAATCTAAAGTTTCACTTTGATAACATTTTGCAATACAGTTTTGCTTATGTTGCATCGTTTCTAATGTAGGTAGTGTCAAACCTGGTAATAATACAAATATCTATATCCCATTTGGCATTTGGCTCGTTGTCGATTATCCATTACCGTGTATTCTGTCGTTGCGAATCGACGGCGTACTCGAATTCGAACAGGTCCAAATTCGTTGAACCTGTCTGAGTTTTGTTAACCAATCATTTTTGTTTTTCAGGGTATGGACAATATTCTCACCGCGAACAGTATTCTCATCAATGGTGGTCAATTAATCGTTGGTTTGTATGATTTTTTCTTTTATGAATTGTATCACTAATTTTCACTGAAACAGGCTGGCCTAACAATCCGCTGAATTCATCAGTAGACATTATTATAACGGGATCTACTACGACCAATGTTCCTTTGCCCAACAATGCTGGAACGCTCGGCCCAACAGTGATAGGTGTTTTGGGTGGTCTTGATCTTCACGGTATACCACGTACTGTCTCATGGACTCGGCTGGGTGCAACAGCTGCCTCAGGGCAAAATACAATTGTATTGAGCCAACTAGTTGATTGGGTTGTGGGTGATGAAATCATCGTGACAACAACAGATACAAGCATCGGACATACCGAACGACATACCATTGCTAGTGTGAATCGAACGATAATCACTACACAGATTGCTCTGGCATATACACACATTATCATTGACAATGTGTTTCCTAATGGACAAGTGGCACAGGTAGCTGCCGCCGTTGGTCTGCTGACACGAAATGTACGCGTCATCAATCGAAATCCCGCTTCAGATCTCTTCGGCTTTCGGATTTTGGTGACTGATTATGAAACGAATATTTGGAATCCGGTCATGAATCAATCTATGAATACATACTACAAAGGCTATGCTCGAATTTCGGACACACAATTTATTGGCTACGGACAATTTGTCGATGCACCTAATGATGACCTGCGCGAAGGTATTCACTTATATAATCTAGGCGACTGGAATGCATCACGACCGACCTATGTTGACTCGTGTTCATTTGACGGTGGATCCTTTTCAGCGTGAGTATTTATGTTCTGATTAGTTTTCTATTTTTCTCTGTCATTTTTAACATATGCAGAATCGGTTTATGGAGCACAAATGGTGTTCCAATCACGAACAACGTTGTCTACAATACATATCAATCTGGTATCGTTGCCGCAGGACAGAACAACATCATCGATCATAATCTTGTCTCGACTGTTTATTGGTCGGGCACGGCACAACCTCAGTATGCTGAATTCAATGTAAACAACGACGGTGCAATCATGTCACGTGATGCAATCAGTGTGGTCATGCAGGTATGTTTGTAAAGATTGATCTGTGTACGCGAAATTGATTTATTCGGTACCATGTCTAGAACAATCTGGTAGCGGGTGTAGAACGTTTGGCCTATCGTATTCAGGGTAATTCATGCCCAAGCACTGTTCTTACGGTCGGTATGAACAATAGCTATTGGAACAATGAGGCCCATTCTGCTATGTCTGGTGTGAACCTCTGGCCAATGGATACAGGTTTTCAATCCGATTTAGGTATGTAATACAAAAGTATTCAGATTGAGTGTGTATACCACATATTTTATAATTTAGAATGCGTTTTGATTACAGGTTTTCGGTAAATTGGTGTTCTTTTAGCGTACACATATTTAGCTATTGTATTTTTTTGTATTTTTTTTTCTAAAGAACGTACAAAGCATGGTACTATGGTATCTACATCAACACCGCGCGCAACATCATTATTGACTCGTGCTCGGTAATTGATGGAAATGTTGGCATTTTTACATTTGTCATAGGGCCTCCGGGTAAGTTGTAGAAACAAAAAGGATTTTTCATCTATTGAGTTTTGTATCCGGTATCCATTAAATAGCTCTATCACATGTGGTGGGCAACAATACGATCACAATTCAAAATTCCGTGGTCATTGGTGCTATAACACCCAACGATTGTGGCGATACTGTAGATCAGACACCAATCAATATCCTATATTCACAGAAGGCCGTACCTACCGTCTCGGCCAATTCGTCGGGTGGTTCTGCGGGTGGACGATGCGGCATTGTTTTTCCGTATATGGGGCTATATAACATGATGCCAAGTCATCCGTGGTCAGGCATGGATTCCTATCCGACTAGTGAGTGATTTTTGACAAAAAACAGGGAAATCAGCAGAGATCGATGTGTTTCTGTTTTCAGTCGATGGTTTAATGATAGTGACAAATGTTACACTTGCTTTTTTCAATTTTGAATGTAGCAGTCGTCAAGACTTTGCTTTTCAAGTGGGTCAACACAATGATGACGGTCAATTTCCAATCACAACCAATAGATTGTTTATTTATAACACATCGCAAACAAATCTCATCAACAGCGGGTGGCCCAATCTCGATGTTGTCAATCAAGCCCGATGCGGGGGTAAGTTGTTTTTATTCTTATGAGACAATAGTAATCATTTTTTCTTCATTATCGGATGATAGATATGGATTGTGATGGTCTCAAGAAAGATTTACTCATAGATGAGGACGGGACATTGTTCGGTCAACCGTCGAGTGTCTTTTCCGATTCGGAACATTTTTGGGGTGAGCACCAAATGTTCTTTTTCGTACTGTCAAATAATACATTTTGAACATTTTCTTAGGCAATCAACAACATGGAGTTGGAGATTTTCGCATTCCATCCGTTGCGTTGGCCGATTCGACCGGTCAAATGATCAACATCAGTTCAATCTATCCCTATCGTGGCATTAGTCGCGGACCCACATGTGCTTATCAGCCGTCGTGGCAAATGTATCTCTGTACGAATGCCATTGACTATCGAATGTTGATCATGGAAAGTATGGATTCAGACACCGAAACTCGACGTCTTTCGCCTGTTGCCATCATGTCTGACAATGGCTATATCGATTTGATCAATGGACCAGAAGATCATGGCTGGTGTAATGGATTTTCGTGTGGAACGCGAATTTCGACATTTATGCTTCTTATTGAATCAGGACATCAATATCTAATCTATTTGTCGAGCACACAACCAAATGACATGCGTTTTCGAATCATCAACAGCAACGCATCCGTCGTCAACATATTGGCTCTTCGATACGATTCTCTGCAACAGATCGACGTTTATGCCAATGGTATTTATGTAGCGCCCATCAATCAGAATACAAACTATCCCTATATGATGCTAATGGACACGCCAAACACGCTCACACTTTCGTCGCCAGTTGGATCTAACTTTTTCAATAGGTAAAACAAAAATCTCGAAAGATTCTATCTAAAAAAGATCATTGATTCTTTTCCTGATTTATAGAACTACACAAATGGCATACTTTGTAATCGACGGTAATACTGTAATCGATCTCGTGATTTCTCCATTGATCGTGCTCACCTTTGGTTTGCCTCCGCAAACACCGACAAGCTTCTTCTCTGGAAATTTAGTCGCCAATTTGGCAGCGTTGCTTGGTGTCCCTGAAAACATGATTGTACGTGTGAACATTGTTTCAGCCAATAATAACACGTAAGTCTATCTCTTTCTCTTGTATCAACAATCATCAGTCCCAAGTAAGCAAAAAATGAAGGAAGACTGCCGACATGACTAGTCCGAAATGTCCGCAAGATCCGTCTAGTCTAGTCTGAAACGTCTTGCATACCCGTCTGGTCTAGTCAGCTTAATGAGGAATGTCTTACATACACGTCTGTACTAGTCTGAAATGCCCTTGAGCCCAGTCATGTCTAGTGTCTGTTGTCTGTTGACCCAGTCCAGACTAGTCAAAATATTAAAAGACAGGTTACACGGTGGGTTTAAACATCCAGCCGACATTGTTCGAAATATGACGGGCATCCTGACGACAGACTAGGACACTGAGATAGGCTGCCATAAGTATATATAGTCTAAATTTATCTATTGGCTCCTATCCATGCATAGAAAATCAGAAACAAACCGACGTAAACGGTATTGACTAGTCTGAAATGTCTTCAACAGCTATATGACTAGTCTGAAGCATCTACTGAACACCTCATGACTAGTCCTTTTTTTAAGAAGTGTTTATTTTACTCATACTTATCAAATTTTTTTCTAGCTAGAAGGACAATTAGAGAGTCTGCTGTAATCAACAGTGCATTCGAAAAGATTTAATACATTGCGTGCATCCCTGCCTTGATATATTTTATTTTATTTTGCATTAGCATATGCTAAACGTTTAAGAGTGTATGAAAACATAAAATAGTAGGGGTTAGTAACTTACTAAAAACAAAATTCATCTCGCATCTAGGAGTGCTAATTTATATTTTTTTTTCAAAATTTGAGATGTACTAAATTTTAAAAAATTGAGAAGCATCTAAACATTTTCATATAATACTATTATATTAGTTTATTTTAAATATCAATTCTAATAATTTAAAATAAACCAAAGATAATTTAATTATTAGATGAATATACGGTGATTTAAATTTAACACAACACTAAAAAATAATATGAGAAAAATTAGTTTTTATGCCATACAAATATTTTTTAATTTTATACTCAAATTAATATTTTTAAAATCCAACTAATTAATCGCACTTGCTTATAAATCAATATATATTTGCCGAAAAAATTATAAAATATTCTTAATTTATTTTTATTTAATGTGATCTAAAATAATCGCGCTTCGATAGAAGATAATTATTATTGATACATAAAATTAAAAAATTTGGAGTAGAATTTGTACTAAATAGCATCTTAGAATGATCATGAGTGTGTAGAATATGACCTCTCGATCATATGGCTCAATGGTTCTGGCGATAGGTAAGTATCACATTGTATACATGTTCGAATCTAATCTTCATCCTTACATATTTCCATTCAGACTAGTCCAGACTCGTCCACTATATAAGGCTCCATCTGGTTGTATACTCGTCCCAGACGCCCTTAATTTTTTATTCATAAACCATTTTCGGACGAGCGACAGGGACACTCGTCACGACTACTCTGATTAGATTTTATGACTAGCCGTCAATCAGAGTACTAGGACGCGTATGCATGACGGATAAAAACTCGGACTAGTCGTGGACGAGTAGTTTTTTAGACAAAGACTAGACGGGACGGGTCGACTTGGCTAGAAAAAAGACTAGTCATTTAACCAGTCTTTTGCTCACTTGGGGTGTATTTCTGTCTACAGTCGAGTGCGTCGTCAATCATCCAACGCAGGTTCATATCAATTGAGAGTCGAAATTCGCAGCAGTCCAGTTCAAAGTCTATCAGGAAATTTTTCAGTAACAGCTCAGCTAATGGCTAACCTCACATCCATAATCATTAATCAATATCAATCAGGCGAATTGCAAATGGCTTGGGCCAATTTTACAGCTACAAACGGCACTGCTCCATCGAGTTTGACTATCCAGGAACCAAACAATCAGACATCGTTCCCATTGAGTGTCATTGCAAGAATCGCACTTGTTACACCACCAGCCTCATGTCGTGAACAGAGTCCGTGCACGACTCAACCAGTTCTCGTTGCATATGACTCAGCCGGAAATGTTATTCAAAATTTGGGCTCAATCCAGTATCCATGGCAAGTGGTTGCCAGTATTGTTGGTCAACCGAATGTAACAGTTCCAGGTGCAATTGCCAACTACACGAATGGACAAACACAATACAGTAACTTCGGCTTGCCATATATTGGCACGTATCAAGTTATATTCGCTTTCATTCAACCGAATGGTGTCAGCATGTATGTAGAAAAAATTGTTTTCAGAGTTATCTTCGTATCATATGTTATTATAATTGATTTTATTTTTATTAGTTCGTTCATAACAAATGCTAGTATGACGGCTAATTCATCTTCGGTAACTGTCGGACAAGCTTCTCTGGCCGTTACAGTAGTTGAGCCTATCTATGTGGTCACAGTTAACCAACCTTTCAACATTTCTGTCAGGCCAATCGATAGTATCACTGGTGGTCAACTCGGTCAAATTTGTTGGAATAACTGGACGTGGACAGCCAATATTTCACTTCACACTTTATCTCAATGCAATCCTCACGGTGCACTTGTTATAAGTACAACATCAATTACCATCGTCGATCCAATGGCGAACATGGTTCAAGTCACTAATTTAATGATCAATCACATAGGCATGTATATTTTGAGTATACGTTTGGTATCGTCGAACAATCAATATTCGTTGCATGTCACTTCTAACGGTATTCTTGCTATCGCCAATGGCAGTAAGTTTAATCTATATAAAGTATTGTACCTTTTATGTTAAATTTTAATATTTTTATTTCAAGCGGTTCTTCAAACTAATTCCGGTCAACCGTTGACATACGTTAAATTGGCAGGTGACTACACGTCGTTGAACACGTCTGGCATGCTCGAAATCACACGAGCTATGATCTATAATGGTCTACTGGAGATCAACATGCCTATTTCAAGTGATCTCGTTTTATCAAACGGTGAGACTATTGCAGAGCTTAGATAGTCATATTTTCGTATATTTTTCAGGTAGTATTGTAGCGTCATTCTTGACTACTTCGAACCCAGTCGCCAATGCCCAAGGTTTCAGTAATCTTTCGTCTAGTACAAATCTAGCGGGTTACAGCGTTACTGGATACAGTTATAATGGCGCTGTAACTTCGTTACAGTCGAATACCCAGACTTCAAATCAAGGTTCGTCGCCAAGCACGTTAAATATTGGTGTAGTGATTGGTGTTGTCATTGGAGCTGTTCTCGGCGCCTCAATCATTGTGCTCGGCACTTTCTTCGGCTATCGCGCCTACAAGAACCAAATCAAACCGGTCCGTCTGCTCGATGATCCAGATACTGCGAATTCATTTGAACCACAATCTCTTCGAAACGATCAGAGTAGTTTGAAAATAGAGCCAAAAGACTCAGCTCTCAATTCGCCAATACAAAAACCATCACCAATAGAACATGGATCGAATGCCATACGAGATATATCTGTTAAGAATCCAACCGTCTCATTGCCTGTCAACCGCGTCAATTCACCTTCAATATTAAATACACCTCGAGCTCCATCGGCTGCGATCAGTGTTACTATGCTCGATTTTACAGGACAAGCCAACGGGCAACATATGAATTATAAAATGCCCGATGTGGAACTCATCAAATTCGAATGAACTGAACGAAACTGACTGAATTTCCTTTCCTTATTTTTAAATACAAAAATCCAACTCTTTCTTTCTTTTTCCCCGAATCTCCAATAAATTCTTAGTTTTTTCTTCTAAATCTTTGTTCAGGAGTCTGAAAAATATCTTGTTATTTGCATTATTCCATTGTCACAATGCTTCTTTTTAGAGCTTCAATTTGATCACATCAATAGCTTTCCTACTCCGATTACTTGCTTTTGATTATCAAGATTTGAAAGGATAATTTCCAGTAAGACTCATTCTACAACAAAGGTGTGGGTGTGGTGTTTCGGTGTGAATTTTCTTTTGTGCAAACGCTCACATCCACATCCACACCCTAAAGTTGCAATAAGTTCTCCCAAATACCACTGCCAAGTTGTAACAATTAGGTCAAGGTATTATTCATACATTTAAGACACATTATCGAAAACAATTAGTCAAACATATAATATCATACTGTGCTACAACTCAAAAGACAGGTGATATTGAAATTATGCATTTACATGCTATTTTATTGGATTGACGAAGCATAGAAAGCTGTTACAGAAAAAAAATACATAATATATTCCCAGTCAGACAAGCTTTGAAAAAAAACGGTGTTTTTATGTGTAAAAAACGCCTTTTAATGGACCAAAATGTGCGCTTTTTACGCGTAAAAGCTCCTTTTTTTTAACGTTTGTCTGACTGGATCTCGTGCAGTTGGTTTTATGAATGAACGACGTGAAGATACAGCACTAACAATATCACCAATAGATATTGAAGCATCAGCAAATGTTGACCGGTATAATGAAATAAAAGTATTAGATGATCTGTTACAACATGCTAGTATTAGTGATCAAAAATGAATGCACTAGATTTTACGAATATCGATAAAGATCTATTTGTGTTTAATGAATGTTCCGATAACTGTGAGAATCTTATTACTTGCGGAATTATGGAATTAGATGAAGATAACGATCAAAATTGGGATGATTGTTTGTCAAAAGAATCACCACCAAAAATAACAGAACCAATGTACATAATACGAAACTTCATTTATTAGCGACAACACAGCAACTGGGATTATATTCTTTAATTAATGAATTAGAATGTAGATTAACTCATATTTGCATTAATTCGAAAGCGAAAAAACGAACAACATTAAAAGACTTTTTCCAACTTGGGTCCTTTTTTTGGATTGAAACATTTTTTCAATTAAAATTATTTAGATGAAAATAGATAAACATAGGAATTATTGTACTGCTCTTTATCTAGTAATAGTGTATAAGTAGATATCTTGAAATCTTTTCCTACTTTTACAGTGAATCATGCACCTATTCCCTAAAACGAACATTTCACTACAGTGAGAGTTTTCGAATAGTCCTGATTGTTTTCACAATTGGGAGGTTTTACTGTGATTATTTTTCCTCATAGTTTATCGCATTGTTGAATAGATTGAAACTTCATATTTCCTTTCATTGAAGATATGAGATGCTCATATATATTACTGAGAGTTCTGCATTATCTCATATGCAAAATTTTTTTTTCTAACTACGGAAAACGGTTTTTTCTTCTGTTATTAACAAATGCCAATTGTTAACCCTTTACGGCCGGATGTTGCCTTTTGACAACATTTTGCCAATATCGTCTAAGGATTTATCTTAAAGTGATGAGATATAGTTCCTTAAGCTATTTGATAATTAATCACACGTATTTTAGGGCAAGCCTATGCCTTTTTGAGAAAGGAGAAAGCTATTGTTGACGAAAGGGATGAATTCTCCCGCCGAGACCCAAAATAGTCCCCGAGTCGAAATGATCTGTTTTCCATTTGTCCGGGCATTCGATGCGAGAAGTAACTAGTGGTTAATTTTCCTCTCCAGATCCATTATCTATTATGTCAATAAGATGAATCATTCAGTTTATTCGAAGAACTTGAGGGTGTGGGTGTGCGTTGATGTGCGAGGGCTCTTATAATAGTCACAGTCACACCCTCACCCACACCCGTCAGCAGCTGCCGTCAAGTCTAGTCTGAAATGTCTTGCATACTCGTCTTGTCTAGTCAGCTTAATGAGGAGTGTCTTACAAACACGCCTGTACTAATCTGAAATGTTCTTGAGCCCAGTCATGTCTAGTCTAAACTTATATATTGACTCCCATCCATGCATAGAAAATGAGAAACAAACCGACGTAAACGGTATTGACTAGTCTGAAGCATCTTTTGGACACCTCATGACTAGTTCGTTTTTAAGAAGTGTTTATTTTACTCAATGTTTATCGAATTTTTTCTAGCTAGAAGGACAATTAGAGAGTCTGCTGTAATCAATAGTGCACTCGAAAAGATTTAATATATTGCGTGCATCCCTGTCTTGATATATTTTATTTTATTTTGCATTAGCATATGCTAAAAATTTAAGAGTGCATCAAAACATAAAATAGTAGGGGTTAGTACTAAGAACAAAACTCATCTCGTATCTAGAAGTGCTAATTTATATATATTTGGGTGTGGGGGTGTGTGTTGCTTATATACCCCACACCCACCAACACCCTCGATGTTCTGAACATCGATGATGTTTTTTATAGCAGGTTGCAGTTTTGGATCGGGTTTTGTTTTATATCGCGGGGGTCATCGTGTATAGTGGGGCTCATTCCGTTGATGTTGTCAGGTTACGTGGTGTGTCGTGTGTGAAACGGATTTACAGGTGATGGCGCATAGTTTTGTAGTCATGGGGCGATCATCAGTATCTCGACGTATCTTTTTCCATATTCGTATTGGCGAATCGGTTTGTTACTCTAGGTGTATAGTTGTATCTCAGTCAGACATTGATTATGCTTTCTCTTTTGCTAGAAAGACTCGACTTCATTTTTGTTTTAAGTGAATATGTGCATTATGATATTTTATAGCAGTTTTCGAAATTATAGAGGTTTAAGTATCACGGGAAGTTTGCATTTTTCGGTAATTTATTCCCGAAGTCTCCTATACTTTTAGAGTTTTGGGATGTTTCGTATAGCAATTCGCATGATGATGAATTTTTGGTTGACGCGGTGAATTGATCAGTAGTCATTGAGTATATCGGTGAGTTTCGCCATAGTCGGCGGTCGATATTCTCCAGTTCGGACATGTTAGGCATTCTATTGGGGCTGCCATACTTTGGATTTCGTTGGATTATATTTAGTTTTTACTGAGTAGTCGCGATTGGGAAGCAAACTTTGAGAGTATCCGTTTCATTCTTGTTTTGTCGTCAAGAGATGCACACTATAATTTTTTTTAAATTCTATTTTGTAGAAAATCGACTTTAAATAAGTGATAGCATTTTCAAACTTGTATGATTCATTCATCAAATTTCTATTATTTAGAAAATGCTTGATTTTCCAAACAATAGAAATTTAATTTAATTTAATTTACTGCATAAAATCCAAACTTGAATATCAATATTTTATTTTCAAGAAAGTAGAAATTCATCACTGAATTCATATAGGCATTCCTAGAATATCCTGTGGGAATTCATATCAGCATTCTTTTTTTTTACAGTGAACCTATTTTGTTTTCGAAATGATTTACATTGCGTTTTTTGTTTGCTTCGATATGACAGCATAGACGATGTATTCTAATTTGGTTTCCTATTGTAATCGAATTTTGATGTCTGCAAATCTTCTAACGGGTTCATTCAGAACGGACGAAAGTGTTCGCGTCGATCTTGATTCTCTTGGATACTTCGTTCCTGATTTTTGGAGGTGTGTTTGCTACGTCTTCAGTGCTAAGTACGGTAATACTTATCACTGAAGGAGTTTGACTTTGAATGTAACTATAAGATCTAAACCTATCTGATGAGGATCAGACGGAGCTCAGATTGAAACGCGTTATGTGATTCTTTCAACTTCAAGGTTCTTAAATTTTATGGTTTTTGTTGTTATCACGTAGTTGCTTCGCACGACTTCTCTGAATTGCTTAATTGAAGAGTTTGAAGTTTCTTCTAATAGTTGGTTGAGGACATAGCTAATGAAACCCTCGAGCAAGGTCAAAACGCGTCCTCATAATGCTATCAATCTAGTATCCCTATTAAACCCGTTTCTGTTAGTTTAAACTTCGAATTCTTTGCTTTAATTTCGTTAGTTAGGCTACATTTTACTTTGATCAAGTAATCGAATTATAAGATATCTTGAAACCACCTAATGTGTCCTTTAAGCCAGGACGAAACCGGTGGTGTGATGCTTTCAATCGAAAATCTATTTAATTTTATTAAAATGATTAAATACTTTCAACTGTAGAACGAGATAATTTATTCTTATGACCTTTAATCATATACATTATTTGTCAACCGATGATTCTTTAAGTAAGGATGAAACCTAGAGTATGTTAACTGTTCTCACTAAAGCAAACGGCTTTTTGTCAACATAACCTATGAGTACCTGTGATTTCTCTACTATGTTTAGATTAAATGTATAAGGATTTTTTCATTTGAAATTTTCCATTTAATTTATTATATTATGCAGTGCTAAAGCTACCTGATGATTGACCCTTGAGAAAGGTCCAAATTCGGATTGTGGCGATAATCTGTAAGGCTAATACTCACTATAGTGGCCTGATTTTTATCAAGATATACATGAATCTTTCTTTAAGATTTTAATATATGCCAGTTATAAATTCGTCTTGTGATTTCTTTCTTGGAATCATATAGATTTGATTTGCCATCTGATGATCGTCGTTGCTGACGTGAAATCTAGATTATGGTAGCTGTTCTCACACCCTTAGGATCGCTTTCTGAAAAGCAAGAGTTGGGATTAGCAGATTGATCTGTCTTTTCGTCAAAAGATATATTGATCTGTTTTCTAATTGATTAACCCTCATGAAAATTTAGCTGTTTATTTGACACAGAAGTTTTACGAAAAATAATCCAATTTCTTGATTAGATACTGCGGGAAATCTAGTTCAAATATTATTAGTTACGTTGATGAAATTAGAGCAACTGAAAAAAGTGTGGGTAGCGGGGGAGGGGGGTGTTCGCTGATTTGGG